TACAACGCACATGTTCATCAGCTGCTTGGGAACAAGAACAATAGGCAACATTTTTTTTTCTGAATTCCATGTGCTGCACATTTAATATTATACACATTATTATCTACTGAAAATTCTAATATTCTTTCAGGAATATACAGGAAGACATAGGCTGATCCGGAGCTCGTTTTATTATATACAGCACAGTCAAAAGGCCCAGGCCTCTCTCCCATCTGGAACAAATCATAATCAGTTCTTCCAGACATAGTACAAATAAATGTACATATCCATCTCAAGGTACGATTTCCAGAATAAAATATGGAAGGGAGATCGTATTACATAGATCTGCTGTATTCAGAGAAGACATTATTTCTGATGGACTTTTGCAATACATTTCCTGAACAGCACAAAAGGGAGTTTTATGGGCCTCATTTGCTAGAAAGAAAAGTGATTTTTCTCCTTAGAATCTATAAGGTTACAGCCGATGCAAATAATATTTAACATGTTAACATATTTTCACCATTTGGGGCACTCAATACCGAGGAAAAAAAGGTTTCTAATAAATTCTTGCATACACTAATTCTCTTTAAAACCTTGACGTTAAAGCGGCCATCTTGACAGCGACGCTATAAGGGTTATTCACGCAAGTGACAATTGTCAGGAATCTGGAGTCTAAAGTAAATTTTAAAAAGGGCACAATAGCACACGTTCCAAGTTAGTTGTGCTTCCAGTTTGGCTTATTTTTGTCTTGAATTTTAAATTGACACTGTTTGGCTGTGAATTCCTGTCAATGTTCACTCTAGTGAATAAACCTGTATATTTGTTTCACTATAAGAACTTTTCTTTATATGTTCTGTCTGCTGTTTTAAGGTGCTGGAGCTTTCCCTAATTCATTTTGTGTCTACTCTCTTCGGACTCTCAAACTTTTTTAGTTTAGTGAAGGGACAGAAAGATGCACTTTGTCACTCTCTACTGCAGTAGTAGTAAAGTGTTACAAGTGTAGTGGCAGCTCAAACATTGTGCATGTCTAATGTCCTGCTTTGACCACAATAGTCCCATGGTTTGGGTTTCTTTTCTGGCTAAAGGCCAGTCCACATTCTGAAATCTGTCCTGCTGTAGTGTAGTTTACTGAACTGACTAGACCTTAAAGGGACACTAAACCACCAAATAAAAATAATAAAAACTACATTATTTAGTAAATATGCCCTCTTTGAAATCATACATGCATTTAATTATGCATTTTTTATTGAGGTATATACATTTTATTTTATTTTTACAAAAACTGAAGATCTGTTATTCACAGCCTTTGCAAGCCCTCCCATTTTAACCCACCAGACATTCTGTGTATCATTGAGAAGTCTTTGCAAGGCAGGTGCTCTGAGCAATTGCTGCCTCAGCAGTTTAGCTCCACTGAGCTAAACAACCAAGAAGTATGAGGACCGATAGTCTGATTGACAGCTGGGAGGTAGAGTATAGCCAGGTTAAATGTTTTTCAGGATGCATATCATGTATATATAGTGGTGGTTTGCACATGAAACAGAAATTTCATGCTGCACAGAGAGAACCAATTTCTACATACAACTTGACATCATTATTCATGTGCACGCCAAAAATATGTAGACATAACATATATTCTAACACTGGGTGGTAAGAAAGCAGGACTGGGGGTAGGGCTAGCCACCCAGTGATGTCATGACCTCATAAGGTGCAAGACTGTCCAGAAAAGACGTGGGACCTGTCTGAGGGTATGTATGTACACCTCCAACATCGGGACATATGAACCTGGGAAAAGGAAAAATTGAAAAACTAGCAATTGCTAGAGCTGTATATATACAGGTGATACTCGAAAAATTAGAATATTGTGCAAAAGTTCATTTATTTCAGTAATGCAATGTAAAAGGGGAAACTAATATATGAGATAGACGCATTACATGCAAAGCAAGATAGTTCAAGCCGTGATTTGTCATAAGTGATGATTATGGCTTACAGCTCATGAAAACCCCAAATCCACAATCTCAGTAAATTAGAATATTGTGAAAAGGTGCAATATTCTAGGCTCACAGTGTCCCACTCTAATCAGCTAAGTAAGCCATAACACCTGCAAAGGCTTTCTGAGCCTTTAAATAGTCTCTCAGTCTGGTTCAGTAGGAATCACAATCATGGGGAAGACTGTTGACCTGACAGTTGTGCAGAAAACCATCACTGACACCCTCCATAAGGAGAGAAAGCCTCAAAAGGTAATTGCGAAGGAAGGTGGATGTTCCCAAAATGCTGTATCAAAGCACATTAATAGAAAGTTATGTGGAAGGGAAAAGTGTGGAAGAAAAAGGTGCACAAGCAGCAGGGATGACCGCAGCCTGGAGAGGATTGTCAGGAAAAGGCCATTCAAAAGTGTTGGGGACTTTCACAAGGAGTGGACTGAGGCTGGAGTCAGTGCATCAAGAGCCACCACAAACAGACGGATCCTGGACATGGGCTTCAGATGTCGTATTCCTCTTGTCAAGCTGCTCCTGAACAACAAACAACGTCAGAAGCGTCTTACCTGGGCTAAAGAGAAACAGACCTGGTCTGTGGCTCAGTGGTCCAAAGTCCTCTTTTCTGATGAGAGCAACTTTTACATCTCATTTGTAAAGCAAGGGCCCAGAGTCTGGAGGAAGAATGCAGAGGCACACACTGCAAGATGCTTGCAGTTTAGTGTGAAGTTTCCACAGTCTGTGTTGATTTTGGGAGCCATGTCATCTGCTGGTGTTGGTCCACTGTGCTTAATAAATGAACTTTTGCACAATATTCTAATTTTTCGAGTATCACCTGTAAATGGCAGAGGAGTATAGCTGCTAGTCTACAGAAAAAAAAACCACAATACAATAGTGTAATGCTGTAAATGAACAATAAAACTGCGCCAATAAAGTTGAACTCCCAAGATGTTGATAAGAAGATCGCCTTAGGGTGCCTCCCCTTAGATGTAAGGGGAGTCAACCTAAGGCCAGGGCCAGATTAAAAGCCCATTGGGCCTGGTGCTGACAATTACGATGGGCCTAATTACAGAATATTATCAACAGAAAACACTAAAACAGTTATACCTCCCAAACGTCATGTATCTAGTGGAGGTGGTGTTGGAGGGAAACTCACAGGATATAGCTATCAGAAAACACAAACCCTATGCTAATCTCTCCCTTTCATCTTTCAAGTAAATCCATACCTCCTAGCAGCAGTGTCCAGTGAAGTAGGATTTTGGTGGGCGGGATAAAAGGGTGTGCCACTGATGTGAATCACCTTTCGAGAACTGCACAAAGGGACAAACATGCCCAAAAAGAAGCATATCTGCACGAGGAATTAGATGGACAGCCTGGCGTGAATGCACGTCAGGCTCCCTTCCAATCATGCAAGATGACCAACCAAGGGCATACTGTGCAGACAGCATACTTAGCTTGGCATAATTGCGTTTAATGATGCACTAGCTCTATGCTTTCTAAGGACTGTTCCCTAGCACCTGCTGGTCCATTCCTATACTAACCTTCTTACTAGCAGGCAGAAGCTCTTGTTGTGCAGTCTGGGAGCAAGTAGTGCGCAAACTCAGCTTTAACTCAACTAACTTCATTGTCAGCCACTCCGCACCAGTTTTGTTCACCTACATCCCTCTTAAGTCTCCATACTTAAGCAAGAGCATGTGAAGAGTAGCCAAAACAAATTCCATAGGCATGGGCCTGGAGTTGCAGCTCCATCAGTCCCTATGTTAATCCGGCCCTGGGTACAATAACCATGCTGTAGTGGCTCTGGTGTTTGATTTACGTAGTAAATAGGCCATGGAGTTGTTTTTCATTGAAAGAATATGATCGACAAAAAAATATTTTCTTTTAATTTAATTTATTTATTTATAATGAAGAAAAAAAAAACCTTTTATAAAAAAAGGAAAAAAATCTTCGTGAACAGTTTTAATCATTAAATTTTGATTTGTAGCAAATTAAAATCTGATGGCAAAATGTGAGCAGAGTAATTAGTCACAACTTGGCTGTTTTGAGTGAATTTGAATATTCAAAGGGTTATTCATTACAGTATGGAGACCATGCTATAGAACCTATCTGTGATAAAAGAGGCTCTTACAAACAAATAATGAATAATAGAAAGATTCATAGAATAAGCTGCTACAATACTTGGATTGGTTTGTTCCTTACAACACACCAGAACTGTACAAAAAATATCTTATACTGTGTGACCTGATAACGACTCTAACATCAGTAAATGAGTGGAGCGCTTGCTGCTAAGTATATGTAATCACTATGCAATCACTCACCCTTGATATGCACTGGGTGTACAGGTACAATGGGCTCAGACACCCAGGGAAGCTTTCTATTACCGAGGGTATTGGCCTCTTCTCTGTCTCCAGGACTGTGGTATTCAGGCAGACTTTATACAACCAGGATATCCATTATCAGCACTCTTTTGTAAATTGCATTATTAGCACTCTTTTTGTAAAATGCATCATTGCATTATTAGCACTCTTTTGTAAAATGCATCATTGCATTATCAGCGCTCTTTTGTCAATTGCATTATTAGCACTCTTTTGTAAAATGCATCATTGCATTATCAGCACGCTATAGTAAAATGCATCATTGCATTATCAGCGCTCTTTTGTAAATTGCATCGTTGCATATATAAACTTTCCTAAATGCTCACCACAGAAACCTCCTAAATATCACCTATTTGTTAGAAAGAACATGCCATTCGTCACCACCAGTGGGGGAAGGTTTTAAACAAACCTACGGCATACCCAGGTAGTCACCTTATGGCAGTGCTGTTTATTGGGTCATCAGGGATAAGAGGCTGAACCCTGATTTGACCTCATGTATGCAGTGGACAACTGTCATCCCGTGAGAGAGAAGGTTGGGTCAGAGCCCATTCACTAAATGGGGTACCCAGGCTGGCGGCTCAGAGAGATGGGTCTTCAGGGATAAGAGGCTGAACCCTGGCTGGGCCTCAGGTATATCGTGGACCATATTCATCCCCTAAGGGAGAGAGTTAGGTCAGAACCCCAGTCACTAAAGGGGTTTCCCAGGCTAGCGACTCATAGAGATATGCTGATGCTGGGTCTTCAGGGATAAGAAGTTGAACCCTGGCATGGCTTCATGTATGGATCGCGTTCCTCCTCTGAAGGAGGGAATTGGGTCGGACCCCGGGTCACTAAAGGGGTTACCCAGGCTAGCAACTCATAGACATATGCTGTTGCTGGGTCTTCAGGGGTTAGAGGATGAACCCTGGTATGTATGTAATGGACTGTTTTCATCCAATGAGGTAGCAATTGGGTCTGACCCCCGGTAACAAAAGGAGGTACCCAGGTTAACAACTCATAGAGATGTGATGTTGCTGGGTCTTCAGGGATAAGAGGCTGAACCCTGGCATGTATAGAGTGGATCACTTTCATCCCCTGAGGGAGAGAGTGGGTCTGACCCCTGGTCATTAAAGGAGGTACCCAGGCTAGTGACTCATAGAGATGTGCTGTTGCTGGGTCTTCAGGGCTTAGAGGCTGAACCCTGGCAGGGACACACAAATACTGGCCTGGTGAGCATAGAAAATAAAATCTAGGCCTGCTTAAGCAGACTCCTTCCAAACTGCTGTGAAGGACAGGAAAAAAAGACTGCCTGTTGGGGAGGGGATCAATCTTTAGTAAATGCTGCTATGTTTGATCATAAAAAATATATAGTGCAAAACTGGTTTCAAATGTGATGAGCTGTGGTCAGAATGGACTTGTTATTATTAGAAACCATAATATGCTTTTCCCTACTATTGCGATATGGCACTATATTTGTGACTGCATATTTTCAGAAGCATGAGGATAATATATATTTAGTGTCAGTTATATATGGTAATTCATCAATGAAATATTATTTCCCCTTTTTAAGGTGTTTAAAATTTATTTTGCTTATCTTTGTATTTTTGTAACCTACGTAATTAAAAAGTAACTATATAATGAATCCAGTCTTCTAATTTTATTTAGAGTGTTTATCTTTAATACATTTGTACCAAGCTTTTCTATATTTATATATAAAGTCTGGAGTTTACTGAATAAACTGGTCAGATAAATTTGCTACAATTCAATATTTAGTGAATTAGTGATCCAGAGGAAGGCGAAAAAACTTGGACATACAATGGGTAAAATATCCAAGTAAAAAATTCCTTCCTGACCCTATTATAAGGCGATCGGTTACAAGTCTGTCCCTGGATCTGTATTCAATGTATTTCGTATGAATCATTTACCCCATACATTACCATCCTCTTCAGATCCTGTTTAGGTCCATGCAGCAGATTATCCAGAAGGTTTTGGTTTGTTCTGATGAGTTTCTGTTTACCCTGTAGTCCCACCTCCACACTGACTGGCTTCAGATTGTTCAAACTCTTGTTAGATACTCTCAGATTATTATGATGCATGATGACATCACTGCTTAGTGGTATCCTTATAAAGTAAATAAGCACATCAAATGTCTTGGGTTTGTTTATCCTTAATAGTTGTCTATAACTACAAATTGTATGTAAAAATAAGTCTGTACAATATTGTTTTTTTAATTTTTCAATTTTATGATTTTATTTTTATTTTTCAGTGACAATTTAATCAAAATGACTCTAATTCTTTGAAATGGTTTGGGAGAGGAACGCTGCTTTACATATTCAAAGACAAATAGCTTTAACTATCCAAACATAAACTAAAGATAATCATCTATAGTCAGGGCCAGATTAAGAGCCCAGTGTGCCTGTTGCTGACAATTATGATGGGCCTAATTACAAAATCTTATCGAACAAAAACACTAAAACAGTCCTACCTCCCAATCATCATGTATCTGATGGAGATGATGCTGGATGCAGCTATTCGAAAACACATACCCTATGCTAATCTCATGCTTTCATCTTTCAAGTAAATCCATACCCCCTAACATCAGTGTCCTGTAAAGCAGGAAGTCTATGGACAGGGTAAAAGGGTGTTCCACTGATGCAAATCACATAACCAGAACTGCCGAAAGGGGCGAACATACCCAAAAGGGGGGTATGTCTGTGTCCCCATGTCTCCCAGTCCCCTAGTATCTGCGTCCCCATGTCTCCCAGTGTCCCCATGCCACTAGGGCACATGGGGACATTGAGAAACATTGGGACACTGGGATACATGGGGACACTGAGATACTAGGGAACACTGGGAGACCTGGGGACACAGACACTTGAGGACACTGTGAGACATGAGGACACTGGGTGACTTTGAGACATGAGGGGACACTGGGAGACATGGGGCACTGAGACACTGTGATACATAGGGGACACTGTGATATATAGGGGACACTGGAGACTTGATAAAGACCTGGCTACAGGTCAAAACCTTGCCATGTCCAATAAACCTGTTTAAATCTATCACAGTGAGTGCCTGAGATTTTTTTCTTTTATACTAGGGGACACTGAGACACTTGGGGGCACTGTGAGACATGGGGACACTGGGAGACTAGGGGACACTGAGACACTACGGACACTGAGAGACACCAGGGACACTGAGAGACATGGGGCGCTGAGACACTGTGATACATAGGGGACACTGTGATACATAGGGGACACTGGAGACTTGATAAAGAGCTGGGTACAGGTCGAAACATTGTGGTGTCCAATAAACCTGCTTAAATCTATCACTGTAAGTGCCTGAGATTTTTTCTTTTATAGTAGGGGACACTGGGAGACTTGGGGACTTTGGGAGACTAGGAAACACTGAGACACTAGGGACACTGGCACACTACAGACACTGAGAGACACCAGGGACACATGGGGACACTGAGATACTAGGGGCACTGGCTGGAAGACATGGGAACACTGGGAGTGCCCCATGTCTCCTAGGTCTCAAAGTCGCACAGTGTCCCCTAGTGTTTGTATCCCCATGTCTCCCGGTGTCCCTATGTCACTAGGGGATGCTTAGAGACATTGAGACACTGTGAGACATGAGAACACTGAGACACTAGAGGACACTGAGAGACTAGGTGACACTGGGAGACTAGGGGCCTCTGAGAGATTAGGGACATAGACACTAGGGACACTGAGAGACACCAGGGACACTAGGAGACATGGGGACACTGAGAGACTAGGGGCCACTGGGTCCCTTGTGTCTCAGGATTCCCATGTTCCCTTAGTGTCTCATTGTCCTAATGTATCTTAGTGTCCTAATGTCTTAGTGTCCCCAAGTCTCTCACCGTCCCCATGTCTCAATGTTTCCACTACTATCTCAGTGTCCTCAGGTCTCCAAGTGCCCCGTAGTGTCTTAGTGTCACCAAGTGTCCCTATGTCTCTCACAGTTTCCCCTAGTGTCCGTGTCCCCAGGTCTCCCAGTGTTCTCAAGTGTCCGTATGTCTCCCAGTGTCCCCTAGTGTCTCAGTGTTCCCATGTCTCACTGTGTCCAAATGTGTCTCAGTGTTCCCTAGTGTCTCCAAGTGTCCCCTAGTGCCTGTGTGCCCATGTCTCTCTGCAGCCTTTCCTCCCATCCCACACTACACAGAGTTGTTGACTGTCTCAGCAGGCTCAGAGCTGCTGTCTGGACACTCTGTGCAGTGCTGCTCCCTGCGGATCGGTGAGTAGAGCAGGGAGGGAGATGCTGTAACTTCTTATCCCTGCCTCTCTCCACACACACAGCGACCCCTACTGGCTGACGCTGGTATTGCAGAATAATCTCTGTTTATACTGAGACTGACATTTGTATTATCGGTATTACTGCAATACCGACACCGGTTAGGCAGACTCAAATACCTAAGAAATACTTCTGAGAAATACCTGGCAACCCTAAGAAATACATGAGAAACACCTGGCAACCCTAAGAGTAGTGTTTAAAAAAAAACTTTTTTTAAATAAGTGGGCCTATTCCATGTGCTTGGGCCTGGAACTGCAGCTCCATCAGCCCCTATGTTAATCTGGCCCTGCATCGGAGGCTTCCCTCGACTCCCACCTTACCAAAGAATGAGAAGAGTCTCTCCATTAAAGAGGTTTTTGAAAAACTAGCTAAAACTGTGATTAGGGCATCCACTGAACATAACTACAAATGACTATAGATTTTTTTCTGGTACCGTACAAGAGCCAGCTGGTGAGGAAGATTTTCATTTGTGGAAGAGCAATACAACTGAAGCTTTGAGAGAGTGGACTGATGAGGCAAAACAGCTAAGGTTGACTGAGAGTCTCAGTCATTTTGAACTTGATGCTTGGTTATGTATCCATACAAAGGTCATTATGCAGAGTCAAGAGCAAATGCCCAGTAGCAGCCAAATAGATCACATAAAGTATTGTATATGACCTTCATTTTTATGCTGATGGACATAACAAATCAAATGCATACAAGATTGATGTATTGGATGCAAGATGTATTTTTGAAGAGCCACTTTGCAAACAAACTACTGATGTTATTATTGGTTATTGGAAGCTTTTTAGAACGATTCAAGAACCAATACCAGAAAAATATGCTTTGACTAATTGCTGACATGTTTTGACCCAAAAAAGGTATGGTAGGGTTACAGTTTGTTTGAAGTATGATAAAGAGGACATAATCTTTGAAACAACACAGACTTTCTGTGATACGTAAGCCTGCATCAATTTGGAGGTGCCAAATTGATTAAGGTTCCTCATAGGTCTTTCGGCCCTCACTGCGGTGTTCCTCTTCTCTCTGCGGACTCCACGCCACCTCCTCCTATGAATGCCACCTCACAGCATTCACCCAATGCCTGACAGGCGCGTGCACTTGGGGATTGCTGCGCCATGATGCGGAACACTTATTCCTCCCTATATTAAAGCAACAGTAGCCCAAAGTAATAGTGGGTTAGCCACACATGTATATAATTATTGCAAAGTATCCTAATAGTTATCTATCCTTGAGTGGCTGATACTTCTTGATTTAAAAACTATGCAAAGTTTCATTGTTTTTTTCTACAAACTATTATAGGCAATTTATCCAGACCTTTTCTCAGATCATAGTCCTTATTACCGCTTTGACCAAAAAGGGGCAAATTACAGTGATTAGCCAAAGGAAGCTAAGACTTCTTTCTTTTTCAACTGCCCTGGTTTTGGTTCATCCAGATACTTTTAAGGCCTTTTATTTTGGAAGTAGATGCATTTGATCAAATACCAAATACCGCAATGTTTAAGTGATGGACCACCACCACAAAAAACATCAAACTGCAAGTGCAGTGCTTCAAATATTTTGTTCACACATACCCCTCTATGGAAATGGGGTAATTAGTTCTCATTAACATGAAAGAGAAGCAAAAACAATAAAATACCTGGTGCAATAAATTTTATAAAATTGCATGAAAGTAAGCTTGTGATGTATATATGCTTACAGTGTTTTGAGCCTTTTTGACGCTATGGCTCTGAACGTACATGTATTAGTGCCCTTCTGGCAGCAACTGTACCTCTTCTGATAATCAGGATCCTCCAGTTAAGTATATAAATAAAGTAAAACTCAAAGGGAGCACATAATAGTGAAAAATATCTTCAAAATAATGATAAATGAAAGTATAGGTAAATAAGTCTTGCTCATCTTTACCTGGAGCCCATAGAATACTGGCTCCATGTTTTTGCACACATTGCCAAATAAGGAGTGGCTATTCCCCCTTTGTTCCAACCCAAGGAAAATAGGATATAAGGCAAGGAGTAAAGTAGGTTAAAATAATTAATCACTTTAATTTAACAAAATCTAAAAAATATAAATATAGGGAGGGTCTACCCCGAGGTAGACCGAAAGTCTCTGGAATAGACTCCATATCCAGTAGACTATTGGAATATATTGACCACTGCCTACAACCTCTGGTACAAACGTGTCCTAGTTATCTCAAACAGACCACTAACACTTTGCAAATCTTACAAGATATAAGATGGGAAACAGGCTTTATTCTTGTTACAGCCGACGTTAGCTCCCTTTACACCATAAAAGAACACAAAAAGGGCTGTGAAGCAACTGAATACTTCCTAAAATAATCACAAAAATATCTTGAAAACAAATTGATTTTATTTTGACTGGCATAAATTTAATTTTAGATAATAACTATTTTTGGTTTCAGGATGCTTTTTATTTGCAGACTTTCGGTATTGCGATGGGAACCAGGTTTGCCCCCACCTATGCTAACCTTTTTATGGCATTTTGGGAGCAACAACACATATATAGGGGACAAAGCTGGGTGGCCAACCTGGCTACCTATCGACGGTACATAGATGGCTTGTTTTTTATTTGGAAGGGAAATTCAAGTGACCTAATTTTATTTTTAGAATATTTGAACAACAACAATTGGGGGATCTAATTAACCTCTATTTTTAGTGACCAAATAGTACAATTTTTAGATTTTAATATTTTTATTGAGGATAATAACATTTAAACAAACACATTTCTAAAACAGTGGATGTAAATAATTTTATACAATTAGAACATTGTCAGTTTTATCCCTGGTTAAAAAATGTACCTAAATCCCCATTTTTACAAATAGGAAGAAATTGTACAGATATAAATATGTATTTGTGGAAAAAGGATATACACAAGAACATTTAAGTCATACTATAGAAGACATAAAAGAAATAAGCAGGGAATCTCTTTTAACTTTGAATATAAAAATGGGGCAACTAACTAAGAAATACCATTTATATGTGATTTTAACAAAAATAGCCATCAAGTGAAAAAAATCTTTAGAAAGTATTGGCCCATTCTTAAAAGTGATGTTACTTTAAAAAACATCATATCAGAGGAACCAAAAATAGTGTACATAACCTGAAAAAGAAGTGCACAATTATATTAAAAAAGACCCTAAACATCTTTTTTCCACAAAACAGGATTTTTAATTTTATTACATTAACTCCATACAGACTCAATGTAAATTTTGAATTGTCATTTTTTTATAATTTTTTTATAACAGTTATTTATTATCATTTATTATTAAAGTTATTATTAAAAATACTATTTATTTATAGTGCATATTGCTATTTATTTAATGACTAAGTAGACTATCCACTTCGCCTTTTCAAGATTTCCCCATCTTTTTGGCCGGATTAGTTTGGAATGTGGGATGTATGTATATAAATCTAAATTGGCTTTCTGTTAAAACTGTTTTTTTATATTTATTTATATTCCCTCCCCCTCCCTATATTTATATTTTTTATATTTTTTTAAAAGACCTTTCTATATCTTCTGTAGACTCTTTACATCATATATTTTATATATATGTATACTACTGCTAGAGTTTTAAGTATATAAAATTATTGTACATTTTTTTTCACAAATATCTTGAGCCCCTTCTCTCCACACATATATTTTTTATGCAATATTTATTCACATTAAATACATAAATCACTCCCTTTTTTTTCTTTTTTTTTTAAATACTCTGTTTTTAAAAACTCTGTATATCACAAACCAACATACCACTGGTTAAAGTTTATACAGTTTATTTCATTCAATTATTGTACTATATCAATTTTTTCTCTTTTTATTTTTATGGTATTGATGCTCACACCTAATATCTGAAAATACGAGCGAAAAAGCGGAAGTGACGTGTCTCAAAGATGGCTGACACGTCACATCCAAACGGAACAGAACTTTGCTGCAGGACCAGGGCTGGATTAACATAGGGGCTGATGGAGCTGCAGCTTCAGGCCCAGGCCCATGGAATAGGCCCATTTTAAAAATATATATATATTTTTTATTTTTTTTTTATTTTTTTTTACACACTACTCCACTACTCTGCCAACTGACTGGTATTTTACTGGCACAGTCGGTATTTGAGGCTGCCTGGCCGTGCCGGTATTGCAGTAATACTGGCAATACAAATGCAGGTATTTTTCTCAGTATAAACAGGGATTACTCTGCAATACCAACACCAGCCAGCAGGGGTCAGTGTGTGTGGAGAAAGGCAGGGATAGGAAGTTACAACATATCCCTGCCTCTCTCTACTACTCACTGATCTGTGGGGGAGCAGCTAAACAGCACAGAGAGTCCAAACAGCAGCTCTACAGCTCAGGTAAGTGAGGGATGGGGGAAAGGCAGCAGGGAGACATGGGGACACTGAGATACTAGGGGACACAGACACTTGGGGACACTGGAAAACATGGGAACACTGAGACACTAGGGGATACTGTGAGACTTGGGGATGCTGAGACACATGGGGACGCTGTGTCTCCTTGTGTCCCCATGTCCCCCAGCCAGTGTCCCTAGTGGCTGTGTCCACATGGCTCCCAGTTTCCCCTAGTCTCCCAGTGTCTGTGTCCCCATGTCTCTCAGTGTCCCTAGTGACTTAGAGTCCCCATGTCTCCCAGTGTCCCCATGTCTCCCAGCCAGTGTCCTCAGTGTCTCCATGTCTCCCAGTGTCTCCAAGTCTCCTAGTTTCTGTGTTCCCATGTCTCCCAGTGTCCCCATGTCTATGTCCGTAAGTGTCCCCATGTCTCCCAGTGTTCCCAAGTGTCTGTGTTCCCATGTCTCTTAGTGTCCCTAGTGTCTTAGTGTCCCCAAATGTTTCAGTGTCCCCATGTCTCCCAGTGTCTTTGTCCCCATGTCTCTGTGTCCATTGTGTCTCAGTGTCCCTATTTCTCCCAGTGTCCCCAAATGTCTCAGTGTCCCCATGTCTCCCAGTGTCTCCATGTCTCCCAGTGTCCCCAAGCGTCTCAGTGCCCCCATGTCTCCCAGTGTTCTCGGGTCTCTGTATCCCCATGTCTCACTGTGTCCCTTAGTATCCTAGTGACATGGGGACACACTGAGACATGGGGACACTAAGAGAAATGGGGATGTATGGCAACAAAATGCAGACTTTGGTTTCTCTAACACTGTGGCATGTCCCCTTTCTTCTACACTCACTACATACAGTACACTCACTACATACACCTTTACTCTGTCCCAGACTAGATACCAGGAACGTCTGCCTGCTAGTAAGACGACAAGGACACAAGTGGACATGCGAGTGCTAGGGGACAGTCCTTAGAAAGCGTGGAGTAGAAGCATAATTTGATGCATTTATGTCAAGTTCAGAGTGCTGCCAGCATAGTATGCCCTTAGTTGGACAGCCTGCATAATTGCCAGGCAGCCTGACATGCATTTATGCCAGGCTGGCCTTCCAATTCTTTGTGCAAACATGCCCCCTTTTTCGGCATTTTCACCCCTTTTGGCAGGTCTGGTCACATGATTCGCGTTAGTGGCACACCCTTTTACCCTGCCCATTGACTTCCTGCTTCACTGGACACTGCTGTTGGGGAGTATGGATTTACTTGAAAGATGAAAG